ATAATACTTTAAACATTAAAAAGGTTTTTCTACAAACCACTGGCTTGGATTCTTCTTACTCTCTTCTTTGGCTAACTTGGGATTCTTGTCTCCCTTGCTAGTCTTGTGCATGAATTTTTTAGTCTGCTTTGTATAAAGAACCTGTGCACTGCACAGGAGGGTTAAAGATGGGTAACATTTCAGATTCAAGGGGTACAGATTAGAAGGGAGAATGAAATAAATGCAAAAATGGTTATAATATGTGAGGTGTGAGAAGTAACAAGTGCTAGAGAGTTTTCAAGAAAGAGAGATTCTAGTTGCAGGGAACAGGAAAGTTTTCATAGAGGACAAGGGCGAGATGAAATTTAAGGAAGAGTAAGACCGTAGAAGGGGAGATAAGAAAGGGAAAGTATTCTAGGTAGAAGGATGAACAAAAAGTGAAGCAGAAAGGCAGGGGACAGCTGGTGGACCCTGGGCGTAACAACAGCACCCGCGTGGCGGAGTAGAGAGAGAAACGTAATGTGTTGTGGAGCTCAGCGCGGGGTCTGCCAGTAAATGCTCATTATGTTATTTTTGGAATATATATGTTATTTAGTTTGCCAGAGGGTACATGCACTCACCAGAGAGAGACAGACAGATGGACAGACAGACAGAGATGAGGGAAAAAGACACCCCCATCTCCAAGTGAGGCATGGTCATGCCACATGGTCCTCTATCTTTCCACTCTCTCTGGATTTAGGGCATGCACCCACATGCTCTCCTGTGTGTTTGGTTTTTTCTTGAAATTTACTAGAGGGCATGTGTACTCACCAGAGAGAGAGAGAGAGAGAGAGCAACGCATGAGAAAGCACACCCGAGGGGTTTTGACCATGTGACAATCTCTTCCCCTCTTAGGATTTGGGGCATGCACACGCATGAAGTCTGATGTGATTTTCAAACCTCCACGTCTAACGCACAGTCGCCCATGTGGGACCCAGTCGCCCTAACCATCCTGCCACTGGCTGGCCCCCTGTGCATGTTTTTCCAACCACGAAGGCCAGGATTTGAATCACGCTGCCTTCAACGCGAGGTCAGAGATCTGGCCCCTGGTTTTGGCATATATTTATTGGAGTTCAGGTTATAGTAGGGAAATAAGATGGGAACAGGGGTGGGCAGGAGGGGACAAAGTCTGAGTTGAGAGACATTGTGAAATAGTGACTGATCAAAACTGAGAAATAAGAGGAACTTTTTATCACTTAAGGTGATGTTAAGGCTTTAACATAGTTTCCTTGAAGAGTGAGGCTGTCCTTGAAGAGCTGCAGGGGTAAGGAAATAACTTCTACTATACCCCATAAACATCAGGTCGTGGACAAGTGCTTTATTCCTGCTAGCTCATATTTAAAAAGCATCCTTTTGGTGGGATCATACTTTAAATATACAAGAGCACCCACTGTTGAAGTATTTTAAGATGAATCATTTTATAATACTATACAATGTATTTTTTCCCAAGTATGGATTTTATATCAAGCTCGCTTAAAACCTAGATTATACCAGTCATTCTAAGTATCTAAGATAGTGTTTATACGTCTTCAGGAGTTTTAATGATGCAACCAGCTATTCATAGAATGAACGGTTCAACGACGACCAACTTTTCACAAGGTACAGTTGTCTTCAAGAATTAGTTGATTGTGTTTCTTGTCTATTTTGTGAGAAATGGCTGCAAGGACGGAGCTGTTCCTGGGACCTGAGGACACGGGTCTGTATCCGTAATGCCTGCAGTGTTACTGAAGTATGGAAATGGGGGACATGGTTTCACCTTTGCATCATGCCCTCTGTGCCCCCACAAGGAGCACCTGGAGGCCACCAGAAAGTATATGTGACAATGTCTGGTGATTTACCTAAATACGTGATCTTAGCCATCGTAACCAGAGGCTTAGATTCTCTGCTTTAATTGAAATTGTACCTTCTGATTGAATCCAGGTATTATTTTTGATTTCTTTAAAACAGAACTCTTGACCTTTAAGAATAAAATGGCATACTTGTCTAACATTTTAGAAGGGAAAAATGATAGATCCACGTACCATTTTCCAGTAAGCCTGAGTTAGGCGAGGCAGTGTTCACTGTACAGAGGAGGGATTAGAGGAACTTGCTCCAGTCAGGCAGCTGTACTCGTCTTCCTCCATCTGCCTGCCCTGCAGGGTTAACGCCGCACTGGTTCCCCCCATGCCCCACCAGGTCTCTGAGCGCCTCAGTGGTTATCTGACATTCTCCCTGTCCTCCACCCGGGTCAGTCCAAAGCTGAGCAACTGAAGCTCCCTTTAGTATCTGTATCCCGCCTTTATTCTTTGGAAGAAGTAGAAAGAGTATTTGTACTCATTTATCTAAATGTTCATTTTTAATAGGTGAGTTCAGAAAGACAGGCAGTACTGCCTGCTCAGCATTTTTGTTATATAGATGGGATAGCAGAGAATTGTTACCTCCAACTGCTTCTGTGAATATGTCCTGGAAAATAAAAGACTTCCTTGCTAAAAAGTCTTGTGGGCAAGAGATGTACCATGAGATAGAATTTATCAAATGTGCTAACGTAATCAAAGTCTTACAGGAGACATGCCCCAGTGTACTGAAGGATATTAAAGTTTACCACCCAAAGGCCAGGGTGGTTAAGGCACTGGACTCCCACATGGCCAACCGCAGTTTAAGCCCGCACCCGGCAGCTTGAAAATCATGTTGGGTGCACGTGTGTGCATGCCCAAAATCCTGAAAGGAAAATGGAGGAAAAGGGATTGCAGTGTGCCCATTCCATCCAAGAGTTGATTTCTCAGTTTCTCTCTCTGGTGAGCACAGGTGCCCTATGGCAAAAAAGCCTTAAAAAAAAAAAAGTTTCACCACCAACACACACCACTGCCTTTCTACCCAGACCCAAGATTCTATTGGTCTGGACACAGCTGAAGTCACTGAGAGCACTTGTGAGTAATTTCTACTAATGAGATAAGCAATGATGAATATGTTTAGTTCTGTATTCTTCGGTAAAGCCATAAAAATGATTTACATTTATTTCCACATACAAAAGAGAAGTTCAGAAGAACAAAACTGTACTTTAAATACTTTTCGTTTAAATCTACTAGGCAGAACGTTAGCTTTTTTTTTTTTTTCCCCTCCCTTACCTTTTCGTCTAACCTATGTCTGTTTAATTAAAAATAAAATACAGGGGGAACCAGCAAATGGCATAATGATTACATTGCTGGGCTCCCATGTAGTTGACCATGATTTGAGTCCTGGACCTGGCAGCTTAAAACTCACACCAAGGGACCAGCAGATGGCATAATGGTTACATAGCTAGACTCCCATGTAGTCACTGGAGTTTGAGTCCAGGACCTGGTGGCCTAAAGCTCATGCTGGTGCATGTACATGCGTGCCCAAAATCCTGAGAGGAGAATGGAGGAGAAGGGATTGCAGCATGGATATCCCCCCCCGGGGGGGGGGGACACAAGTGCATGCACCCTATAGCAAAAATCCCTCAAAAAAAAGGGAAAAACTCATGCCAGACGTGTGTGTGTGTGTGTGTGTGTGTGTGTGGGTGTG